TTATAGCATTATTATTAATTATTATTACAGATGTCGATTTGGAAGAGAATAGATACAAAATAATAATCATTTTGTAATAAAATGCTAGCTAAAATAAAAGTTTTTTATTTAAAAGTTATTATTACTTAAAATAAAAACATTTTTGCAATACAAAACATTGTAGATTCCCAGTATTTTATATTATAGATAATTCTATTGTATTAACATATTAATATTGTAATCTTTCACATTTTATGACTTTTCCATTTTTATCAGAATTTTTTGATGGCAAAAACATGCACATACTTATTGTTCCGGTTTAATGGCAATTATATAAAAATCATGGGACAAACGATGAATTTGTATAGGTATATGCAAATATGTGACAAAAACCTTTTAAAAAAATTTTGATTTGCTCTAAAGATTTTGATATATTATCAAATATTTGAATATTATATCGTCGGACAATATTTAGCACTGCAAATAAGAAATCATATTTCATTTCTCCCTTTTCAATCTGTTAATTAATCATTTATACAATAATCAAGTGCATAACTAAATGTTAAAAAATCTTGAAAGAATCGAATTCAAGTAACATCTTCTTGACAAATACTTATACACAAAATTTTTTCTCAAAACGTGAGATTCTCTTAAAATAAACTCTTAAAATAAACTAAATAATATGTAATTTTATTATGTTATTTTTTATATTTATATTTACATTAAATAATTTATATTAAATAATTATTATTGTTCAATTACTTTATATATATATATAGAGAGAGAGAGAGAGAGAGAGAGAGTTTCCCATATTCAATTGTTTATAATTCAAGGACTCTATAGCCGGTATTCATAATCGGTTCTTATAAGATTGTCTTAAATAATATTTTAAGAGCTAATACACAATTCGATTTGTTTGGGATTCATGACATATTAAAACTGTAATCAGGATGATCCTAAATATAAGATTCGACAATAATTTATTAATGTCGCCTTATAAGTCTCAACATTTATTGTCGAAAACAATTCATAGTTCAAACTTTAGTAAAGGTCATCTTTATATTGACACGTACGACATATTCACAATAACGTCAGAGACAATGTAATCATTATTCGGGAATCTTTCGAGCAAATCCATCGCGCAGATATGCTGAAGTGATATTAAAAAATCGATAATTGTAATTAATCAATTATAATTAATGCGAATTAACTGTGCTCTTATCTGCATAAATGTGTAACATATAAAGTAAGTCATAAAAAATAATATTTTTTTAATTCTTTATTATTTTTATTCTTTAAAGTAATGTTATTTCTTATATTATGTTCTTCACATTTATTACATACATATATATATTTTTTAAAAATACTTTATAGAAATGATAAAAAGAAAGTATTTATATAAATACTTATATTGTGCAAAAATAATACATAAATAAGAGCTTTAAAATACTTTTTTTGTATGTGTATAATTCCATTAATAATTTATTTTACAAATAAATTAAAAATTAATTCAATCAATATTTTTATTTTTTTGATTAATTTGAAAACTGCAGAAACATAACAATTATAATTTTAAAATTCTATGTAATCCTTCTATAAGAATAAAATCTTTCTTCTTAAGAAAATCTTAGTAAACGATAAATATTAGGTGAAAATACCAAAATAGTCAAATCGAATCAAGAAACAGATTTAAACTTTTTGTTCTTTAAATAATTCTCAATAACTAAACAATTCAAATCTTAAACAAAAATATAGAATGCCTTTTTCGTCCATTTCTCGCGATAATGTTCTGAAGAGTTTATGTTTCTGAAGAGCATATGTTGATTATTTAAAAACTGTGCTTGTACTCGCAATCATGATCGTATAATGTAATTATAAGCACATCATTGTAGAAAGATTTTATTTGCTATCGTAAATTTTCACTGACCGCTCTAATAGCCCCGCTCTACCCCAATATGTTAACGTCTTTTTAATTTTGGTAGGAAATATTCATTATAGATAAATATAAACACGCTACATAGATGTCTAAAATTATCTTTTAAATGAAATAAATCAATTTTTTATTTTCTTTTTTAAGAAAAAAATCCTATGAAAAAGATAATAAGATAAATTAATTACAAATCGAAGTATACTCAATAAATATTAAATACATGTGATTCTTATAATAAAAAAGTGCAAAAATTATTTTTTTTAATTTTTTTTATTTTTATATATAAATTCATATTAAATTATAACAATAATTTTGTATTGTTTTATTTTTTTCTTTAACGAACAATCGCAGATACGTAAAAAGAGGGATTCGATATGGGATTTCTAAAATTGTTATTAAATATTTTAATATTGGCCATAAGAACGATTCCTTGCATCAGTATAAAACATTTAGAAATTATTGATCGATTACCAAAGAATACGATACCAATTCGATATAACATTCATCTAACAACGTATCTCAAAGAAGGCAACTATACTTTTTACGGTGAATCCAATATCAATATCAAAATTCGTTATGCATCATCAATAATAAGCTTACATTCAAGAGAGTTAGAAATAATTGAAACGTTGACAACATTGATTAATGACAACGGTACGATTTATAAACCAATGAAACATACTCATAACAATGTAACTGACATTTTGACACTGTCTTTTAATGATGTACTATCGTCCGGTCTGTACATCCTGAATATGAAATTTATCGGTTATTTCTCAGAACCTTCCGAAAAACTGGGTTTTATAAAATTTTCGTACATAGACATTGAGGAAAAAAAGTAAGTAAATATTAAAACATAAAAATATATTTGCAAATACATATAATAAACAGCTTTTGTTATTACTTTCTTATGCTTTTATTACTTTTCCATACATAAAAAGGTTTTCCAGTAAAACATAATTATAATATAC